CAAAAACCTAACACCCCTTTAAAAAGTAAACCAACCCGCCCTTTAAGTGTAGCCTATAAAATGTAAAAATTTTAGTATACTCAAATCTCTTATAGTGATGGCACACGACGAGACACACATTCGGCATGTAATGCTGCTTGGATGCAAGAAGGGAAACAACACCTCTGTAGCCACAAAGAATATCAAAGAAGTTTATGGAAATGATTTGAACGTTCATAAGTGTCAACGATGGTTCAGCAAATTTAGTTTAGGCGACTTTAGCCTTAAAAACTGTGCTATCAGAGGCCGACATGTTGGAATTGAGATTTGATGTTCTAAAAACGCTTGTTGAATTTAACCCAAGGCAACACACTCGTAAAATAGCCCTGAAATTGCATGTCTCTCATGAAACAATACGTAAACATCTAAGGAATATAAGAAAAATCAATAAAGAAGGTGTTTGGGTGCCTCACGACGTTTTCCGATGATCATCGTTTCCAACGTGTGAACGTTGCTTCGTCCCTTCTGGCCTGTAATACACGTGAACCATTTTTGGACAGAATTGTCACCGGTGATGAAAATGGATTATCTATGCGAATATTAAACGCCAAAAACAATAGACAGAAAACCACTTCCGACCCCAAAACCTGGACTCCATCCACAGAAAGTGATGCTTTGCATTTGGTAGAACATCAAAGGAGTAATTCATTTCGAACTCCTCAATCCACAGCGAACTATCAAAGCAGAGATCTATAGCCAGCAACTGGAACGTTTAAAATCAAACCCCTCATCAGAAAAACCCTTCACTCGTGAACCGTAAAAGTGTTATTCTTCTCAACGACACTGCACGTCCACATGTGGCAGGTTTGACGCAACACAAGATTATGGAGTTGGGTTAGGAAGTTCTCCCCACCCACCATATTCTCCAGATATGGCACCATCAGATTACCATCTTTTTCGTCCGCTGCAATACCATCTTAATGGGAAAACATATGCAAATGTGGAAGGTGTTAAAGAGAACATCGACACGTATTTTACTTCAAAGCCAAGTGATTTCTTTAATCAGGGCATTAACAATATGATTATATTGTGTAAAAGTATTATCGATAAGAATGGGGACTATTTCATTTAATAAATGTTTTGTTTTGATGTATAAGTTGTTAGGGTTTTTCATCTAAAAAAGCGACATTAATTTCTTGACGACATAATTGAAAGAACTGCTTCTTTTCTATGTGGTTTTTCGCTAGCTAGCCTCATTAAAAAGATGCACGCGCACGTGGATAAGTAGTAATACCCAGGTGCACACCCTCAGTATCCACTTAGTATGTTTCACATTTCTAGGTTCTTTCCTCTTGGAGTTATGGCGATATCACACACACACACACTCAAACCCACAGCACGCCCTTTTATTATTATAGATATATTTGCATTATACAAAGCATAAATAAAATCGAATATATGACATACTCGTATTGTTAAAACGTGAGACTGAGCACATCAGTTATGTAACAACACTAATCTTATTCTTAGAATGAGATAATCAGCACATCCATCATATAACAACATATTCATATTGTTAAAATCTGAAGATCAGCACATCAATCATGTAACAACACTACTCTTATTCTTAGAATGGGATAATCAGCACATCCATCATATAGCAACATATTCATATTGTTAAAATCTGAAGGTCAGCACGTCATGTAACAACATACTCATAGACTTATAATGTGAGGATTTGTACATCCATCATGCAAACACATACTCATATTGTTATAATGTGAGGATCAGAACATCCGTCATATGACAACATACTCATATTGTTAAAATCTGAGGATCACTACATCCATCATGTAACAACATACTTATATTGTTTGAACTTCAGGTAATGTAGATATCCCCGTGAATAGAGCACTATATTTTTTCCGCTATATTTTGGTGAAATAATAACTTTCTATCTCTAAACTGTCGTTTATTTACTAAAGGCTAAAGATATTCCAGTTTGGGTAACGTCATCTGTAACCTAATTCATATAAATTTTATTTAAAACTAGCTGGTGTACCCGTACCCTGAACGGAAGTTATGTGAATTCATGATTAATGAAAGGTTATGTTAGGACATGAAAAGTTGCTTCCCTTATGTGTAATTGTAAAAACGCAAAAACGCCCATAAAAGCTGCACAATACAAAATGTGAAAACGCAAATTTGCATGTATCTCCCCATGGACCTAATGAACCTCCATACCAAATTCGTGAAGATCCATCTACAGGGAGAAAAGTAGTAGTAAAAGAAAAAACAAAATCGCTCATAGAAACCGCAAAATGCAAAAATTAAAATTTCTATGGACCTAGCGAACCTCTATACCAATTTTGGTGAAGATCCATCCACACCCTGCGAAGTAGTTACATGGACATAAACAGACAGCACTATTATATTTATTTCGATAATCAAAAGTAAAAACATAGTAGAAACCATTAACGATACTTTATTAAAAGATGCATTGTTAAACAATGATATGTGAATTACTTGTATTTTTATGTTACGATTTTAATAGTCAAAAACCGACGAAGCAATGGAACCAATATTCTTAAAATTAGTGACAAAAATCCCACTAGATTGCTATTTTGTTTTTTCTTTCTTAGTCTATTTGGTACCAGAGATGTATGAAAATAGTATTTTATTTTTTTATCTCTTATCATTGCTGCCCATGACGCTTTTTGTTCAGTATCAGAGCTCATTATCAGCTGGTGTATCATAGAAATTGGATATTTTGAACAGCATAAAAAATTACAGCTTGGATAGACTTTCGTATTGGATAAATTCTGGTACTAAACGAAAATAAACCGAAGCAGTGATTTGTAGCAGACTAGAATATATTTTTAATGTTGTTTTTATATGCCCCTGATTTCAAGTGGAGTAAGACAAAGAAAAAACATCTGTAGTGTAGTGTGACACTAGTATTAGGAATGTTATTTTCATTGCTTCGCCGGTATTCGACGTTCAAAATCAATGTCGCTTCCCAAAAGTTTTTTCGTTCAATGCCAGATTTTATCCAATACAAAATTCTATCCAAAAGGCTATTTTACATGCAGTACAAAATATTCGATGCCTAAGAGTATGTCTACCCTAGCTGATAGTAAGTTGTAGTATCGAACGAAAAGCCTCTTGGGCAGTAACATGTGGTGGACAAAAATAAAATACTATTTATAAGTGCATCTTATTTAAATTCCTAATGAATTAATTAATGAGGAAAAGCAGCATCTGCATGCTTGTGTGATTTTTCTCACTAATGTTAGACCGCTTGTGTTTTTGTTTCTAACAATACTCGAATAACAGTGAGTCACATAAAAGTGCGTATGCCAAATGGTGGTATCAATAAGAATTAAATTTAAACTTTGGTATCAATAAGAATTAAATTTGAACTTTGGTATCAATAAGAATTAAATTTGAACTTTGGTATCAATAAGAATTAAATTTGAACTTTGGTATCAATAAGAATTAAATTTAAACTTTGGTATCAATAAGAATTAAATTTAAACGCGGGTATAGAAACCTGATTTTTAGATTTATAAATCAACAGACTTACTGCTGAGCCACAGAGGAGCCTCATCGCAAGCTAACATTGGTTCAGTTTTATTCGTTGTCGCTGTGTTATCATTAGGCTGTATTTTCGAGAATATTGATTAAAGTATAAGTCAATGCCACTATCCCCAGTAAAACATGTTTCCTTTGTATGTTTTCTGTCTTGTGAACTCTTTGATTGACCATCGATAAACTATTATCTGAGCTTAAAAGAGCCTATCCACAAATAAAACGTAAGAGTAACATCACTGAAAAAACAAAATCGATAGCGTGTGTCTCTTTCAGAAGTCTTTTTTTTTCTAAATTGTATAAACATAAGCGTGTCTTGGCTCAAAATATGTTTAGGGAGCATTTACGAAATTTTGTCACCAAAATATATCTCTAAACTCATATAGCACATTTTTCTTTGGTTTTTTTTTTGGGGGGGATGGACTGTACACCACAGTTATCTCGAAGTTAACTATTTTAACTCCCTCTCCAGGTTGTGTGTTCTTCCGTAGCCCTTCTGCTTCACTACGTCCACCTTGTGGGGAGTTTATGGCTCATCTGCTATGTCGTCCATATCTATAGACAATTATGGCAATTATCAGAGAGACCATGGACAATTCTAGGCTACTGTCTCGTCTCCTGGCTCCTCCCAGCAGGCTTTGTTGTTTCTTCCTACCTCATTAATCCGAAAGGATACGAAACAAACCAATAGTAAGTGCTTTTATTTCGATGTGTTTCAGTTTTGGTTTTATACAATTAAATCGGGTGAATATTTTAATCCACGAATACTACGTTGTTGATTCTACACGTCGTGATTAAAAACAAAACATAAAAACTCAAGACTTTCTCAATCCATATTACAGTAGATATACCCGAAAAGTAACAATACCTTCTGTAAATAGAATTGTTTCTTTGTAAAATACAAATTTTTCCTTTCAAGAAAGCCATTCTCCCTACACCTTTAAATGATCTCCTGTATTGAACTTTTCTTAGCCCTCTTTCTACAATAAGAAAGTGTCTCCTTTCGTCATCTTTTTTTGTATAATTATTTCTATAAAAAGTAATTCCCTTCTATTTTCATCTTTTGTATATTTGCAAAACCATTTCAAGAAGAACATGATCCGTCTTATTTTTCTTTTCATCTTTTGTTTCTTAGCAAACATCCTTCTTAGGGAGAATCAACTGTCTCAATATCCATTTTTGTTTGTCAGTACAATAATTTCAAGAAGACGACACCGTCTTCTGTTGTCTCTTTGTAAAATACCTTTCAAGAAAAAATAATTGTCTCGTTCTTCATCTTTTGTTTCTTTGTTGTTGTTTTTTCTACTAGTATAAGAGACTGTCTTTATGGTGACATCAGAAGCTAGTCTGATACAAAAATAGCCCTGTCTAACATAACTATTTCGGGAACGACTAATCATAGTGTGCATCTTGACAACCAACAAGCTGTACGTCTAGACACTCACAAACCACTTCATTCATTTAATCAACGAATGATATAAAGAACAAACGTAACCTCATAGCTCAACCGAACAAACTAAATAAAACATACACTGACGTAAAAAACAAACTAGAATATAAAGAAAAAAGATAAGTCCGTCTAAAAGTTTCGCCGCAGGAGTTTTACAGATGTGTTGTATCTTTTTTATCTGGATCTTTGCCAGGATTCTGCTGAAAATTATTTGATCAATACCTCCAGTGAAGGGTCTTCCTTTGTGTGTCAAGCATTTGATAGAACGGGTAAATCATCGTGTATCTTAGTGTGTAAGTAAAAATTGGGCATAATACGCGATGATTCGAAAAACTAAATAAAGGAATGTTAAAAAGAATAATTAATTTATGCTAAAAGTGTATCATTAAAACTATTAATATTCTAATAGATTAGCTTTGTGGAGAGGAAACACTTTTACCAATGAAAAAACTAATGAAACGTTTTTCTACATTCTATACATCCAGTTTCTTTCGTCTGTATTTTCCAGTTGAGTCTTTTGGGAAACAAAATATTTTACCATGATCTATTTATAATTATTAATGGACTTACTTTAAACGTTAATTATTAATGGACTTACTTTAAACGTTAATTATTAATGGGCTTACTTTAAACGTGGGTACTTTTGTACTTCAGTATTTTGTGGCTGAAATTATTATAAAGTTAAGGTAAATTATATACGTGCCTTACAGCCACATATATATACAGCCGTTATTTCTAGATAAGAATATTTCCTCAAGACACCTGAATGGTTTTCCATTCTATCACTGTTAAATCCCGAGTTTTTAGCTGCTACCCATTTTAGTCCAGACAAGACGGAAATAATTTTTGGTAAAATGCCTTAATAAAAGGACACAACGGATGAACTTCGAACTGGTAATCTTTCAATTTCTAATCCGCTGGGCCATTAAAGGTAATCATGAATATAAAACGTGTAGCCTTTTTTAACATAAACATAAAGATTTATCCTTACATTTAACTTTTGTCGTGTTTATTGAGATCTTAAGATCTAAATAATTTGGTGTTTTATTCTTGTATGTTCTACATTTCACCTGTAATCAAGCTGTAAAACATGTAATAGAAAATACTGGTTTCAGCATCACAATGAAATATCCATTCTTTCTGTATCTTAGAAGATTATTTAAGGTTCTGTAATAGGTTTAGTTACAATAGCTGATCTCCACACAAGCTGCTGGCTAACGATCCAAGGCGGAATGGGAATTTCATTTGTACTTCCAATGGTGTTTCTGCTTCTGGTAAGTCTGGAATTTATTGTTTTCTTATAACTTCAATACTTTAATACTAACGACTTTAAAGAATCATGTGTATTATTAGTTTTAGTACCTGTGGTAATAAACAAGGTTTTGAGTTTAAATTATTTAAAATCAACCACATGAAATATTATCCACACAGTAAGCAGATATTTGTTTTAGTATTTGTAATAATTACGATAATGTGTTATAGAACGTAGCAGTAGCTGTGCATATATATGTGTGTGCGTGTGTATATAGATACATATATATTTGTAATGATGAAGCCCAATAGATCCCACTCAAAAAAAAAAATAAGAACCAATTACCATTGGAATGAAACTATCTACTAACAAACATGACAAACGTTTAGAGCTTTTAACATCCATTATAATGATATTTAGTTTTGTCTATCCAGAAAACGTTTTAAACGCATATTAACAAAAGGCGGATGTAAATATACATTAGTAGACGTTTTACACAACAACGTATTAAAAGCTTATTTAAGTTTTTAAAATGGTCTAACATCATGTCGTAGAATAACATTATAAGTGTATTTATTAATAGGATTAAGTACGGTAAAATTTATCCCTAACTAAACTAAAGCAAAAAACGTAAACAAATTACAGTGTTACTTTATGTCTCTATAGAATATAGGCCGTGCTTAATAAAGGCTTAACTAACACTAATTTGATCGCAAGTGTTTGGCGGGTCTTTGATAATGTACTGATAAGACCGTCGTTTCAAATATTAATTACAATAATTCTCTCTGGCAAAGAAATTATTTGCTTCCTGACTGTTTTGTAGGATTATTACGAAATTGTTTATTGCAGAAGGTGATTTGTAAGCGTACGTAACTCATTTTACATTCATAATTAATACGAGATATACAGTGTAACTATTCTGTTTGTCACATAGAAAAAGAATTATCATATATGTCCCCTTGACGTCAAAATAAATCGTCATTATTTAGTTGAACATAGAAAACATGCTATTATCTTTGTGTTTATATTTTTTATTCATTTACACCATGTATGAAGAGCTATCATACTACAATCAGTGACAATATATCGGCAAAACCTGTTGTTTAGTAAATTCATGGAGCAAGTCATACAAGGTTCCGACCCACAAACAGTTATGATTGTAAAAAGATATTTAAATGTTTCGTACGACTTGCAAACTTTAGGTTCCCTTTAAATATTTCGTTATTAATACAATTTTATCCACGATTTCATTCTAGAATGAAACTTTCTTACCAAAACAGGGTAAGAAAATTTACTAACTTTTTTTTTATATTTCATCTTTTTTAGAGGTAAGGTTTGCGTTGTAACAGAAGATATTGGATCTTGAATTCATTTTGTCTTTCAGCGTGGAATTTTATTATGCACGTAAACTCACAGATGTCAAGAATCTACACTTAATTCGTGTTGGCGATAAGTATATTCTCACTGTCGTGCTCGGGGTCTCTGCTCTGATTAAAAAAAAGAAAGGAAAATAAAGTTACATTTTTAACCGTTAGGTGCGCAACATACAAAGTAATTTGCTTTGTCTCGTCTCTTCCAGCTGAACACGGTCTTCATCTTGGCTTCCATGAAAAGGTTCTTTGCCTTACGTTCAGTGACGCCGAAAAATGAGATCGATAGAATCCGGTAAGATCGAGTTGCTGTGCAAGGAAAAATAGTAAATTAGAGATTCACGTTTAGACTTGTATGTTCCATAACATTATTTATTCCAAAGCCGTCTTTTCCTGTTCGTGCAGTACTTATTAAACACGGTGTCAAATAAATTCAGCATTTCATAAAAAAGAATTGAAAATTTTACGAGGAGTTTCCTTTTCAAATTACCAACCTCACTCTGTAGCTTAAAACTACAATACCACAAACATCGCCATTGAGAACCTTTGTATAGCTTTTTATTATCTTTAATTACAGTGATTGAGATGTCTTTAAATTAGATGACAAGGTAAGAAGTCAAAACATAGCAAAACAAAACGCTTTTATTTTACGTTTTTGTTTGTTTTTTTTTAGTTTTTCTCTTCGAACAGGAATGGTCATCCTTCCATATTTTTTCGTCAATTGGTTCTTCAGTGTTTTGGCTTTCGAAGACGTCTTCACTACCATGTTCCATTACATTTTTGCCTTAACCAACAGTCTTCAAGTACGTCTATTTTATACTTGTACCGCAAGATTATACCTATAATCATACATGAAAATAGTTTTACGTTTGTTGGTTTCTTTAATTCTCCAGTTTCTTCTAAATCCTTTTGTATTCCAACCAACGATTGTTTCTTTATGAATCCTATCTTTAAACCAACGGTCACTTCTACTAGTGACCTTCCTTTATTGTGAATTTTAATAGATAATTGCAATTTTTTATTCTAACTATATTTACAACTAAAATTCTTCTATCAATTTTTGGGATCTGTACAGTAATTAATCAAACGGTTTATTTTAACTACGCTAGCTGTCTTCTTCTGTTATATATTTGAACCAACCATCACTTGTACCTTTGTTTGTGTAAATCAGTGATTTCTTCTTCGCCACTGATCTATGTTTTCTTTGAAAAGTTAAGTCAAAGTATGTGATGGAAACTTTATCCGGTCAACTACACAAACATCACATCAAATCTGTTTTTCTGACTTCAGTAGTGTGTGATTAACACTTCAGTTTATTTTCCTACCAAACATAAAATGTCTCCGTTTGAACACGTAGAACGTATCTGTTGTCTATCAGAGTAAATGAATGTTCCTTATCTAGATTCATATTCCTATATGCATTCAAATGTTTTTAATGCTCCTTTTGAATATTGTGCTATTCAACATTTTACCCTCTGTAATTTCATATTTTTGTTACTGTAGGGGATCTTAATTTTCCTGTTTTTCTGTGCTCTTAATCCAAAGGTAAGAAGTTATATATATATATATTTATTCCCCACTAACATATTTGTTTATTATACAGTTTGGCAATGCATGTTTAATTAAAGGCTTGAAGCTTTTTGGCTGAACCCCAGAGGCACATCGGTATATCTTACAACGCTAGAAACCGGGCTTCGATACTCGTGGTGGGCAATGCACGCATAGCCCATCGTGTAGTTTTGTGCTTAACTTCAAACAAACTATTTATCCGTTTCTTTCATTTTTCATTTATTGATTGAGGATAATAGCGAAGACACTAACGCCATGTTATTTCAGACATAGAGATGTTGTTTTTGAAATTGTGTATTAAGAAATGCAACTGAACAAAAATATGGAAATAAGTTAATTTTTAAGCCAAAAGCTTAACTACTCAATTAATTAATTAACTCTTCTATACTTCACTTTGTAAGAATATAGCGTTATGGAGTGATCTTCTTTCATAAGCCGGCGAAGAGTGATCATAATTAATTGTACTTGATTAGATAGTGCTGTTGTTTCTCCTCGGTTTTACCTCTGTTACTAATACAATACAGGATTGTTCTAGGTCCTGTTTACCCTATATTTAAAGATTATTCTCGATGTTGTTATTGTACTTAATAAAAGATTATATTGTATTTTTCATTATTGTGACTGATAACATATTATTTTGGATGTTGTCATTGTTCTTAGTACAATATTATATTGTATTTTTCGTTATTGTTACTAACAGGAGATTATTTCGGATGTTGTCATTGTTCTTAGTACAGGATTATATTGTATTTTTCATTATTGTTACTAATAAGAGATTATTTTGGATGTTATCATTGTTCTTAGTACAATATTATATTGTATATTTCATTATTGTTACTAACAAGAGATTATTTCGGATGTTGTCATTGTTCTTAGTACAAGTTTGTATTGTATTTTTCATTATTGTTACTAACAGAAGTTTGTTCTAGATGTTGCTATTCTTCCTTATAGAGGGAAATTCTGGACGTTGTCAATGTTAACATGGCAGTGTTATCCCACTAGTGCTATAATACAAATACTTTAGATGTTTTCAAATGCTATCGATGTAAGATTAACCTAGATGCTGTTATTTTTATGAGTTTGGATTATCGTGGATATTAGAAAGTTTAATCATTTTATATATTGTTATTGTTACCCTTGTGAAATTAATATTAATCTTCTCTAAAGGGAGTTATGCACATAGATCAAAAATACAAATAAAAATTAACCCAGAAATGAATATAGCTAATACGATATATTGTTCTTACGTTATTGCTTATAATGCATAGTTTCGTCAATTGTTTACCCTCGCTTTCAACGATGTTTTCGGCCTAAAACCCAATAATATCTCCCAAAGTTCTGCTAGCTTAGGAGACTTAGGTTAGCCTTAAATCCATATAATGTGATAACAATGCACAATAACCTCTATAATAAAAGAAAAATGATAAAACTACATATATTAAACAGTCTAACCAATACTTTTAATGAGGATTAAATTAAAGAAAGAAAAGAATATGCCTTGCTTACGTACTGCACAAACACTAGTTGTTAACTTCAAGTAATTTCGTATATGCTGTTATTCTTATGAGTTTGGATTATTTTGGATATCCTTATTTTACAAGTCACTGTTATCTGTATGTTTTTTTAGTATTTTTAGTGCAAAATTATTCTTGATTTTTCAAACTCTCCGAAACTGAAATCTCGTAAAATCGAAAAGTACACCAACATTTCCTGAGATAAAGTTTCAAAAAGTCCAGTTGCATAACACTCTGTATCTCCGAACACTGAGCTGAAAGTTGTCGACACAGCAGATACTGGTCATGATACGAGTTTACCTAACGTAAACTTGTACACTTTTATATTAAAACTGCAGGCAACCCTCGAACTCTAGAACTAGATACTATGTGTGGTAAAAGTTAGGCATGTTTCATAGGTAACTTGAGCCTTAAAATCAAGCATTACTGATGGCGAAATGTAAGTTTCTTTGAATACCATAATCATTACTTATAATATTTGATTTTGTTCATGAAACGTTTCTTCACAAATTCCTTATCATCAATACACCAATAAAATGATCTAGAACCGATATAGTTATATATCTTATCTAGAAATATATAATTATTTCAATCCGAAGAAAATCCTATAGGTTTATCTGGACGACCTATGAAACAGTTATTTTTTTTTTACTTGCATCCAATTTTTCATTCTTGTATGTTTGCATACATCTAGTTTTTTATTCTTGTGTGCTTGTATGTATCCAGTTTTTTATTTTTGTATACTTGCATGGATCCAGTTTTTTATTCTTGTGTATTTGTATGCATCCAGTTTTGTATTCTTGTATACTTGCATGGATCAAGCTTTTATGCTTGTATGCACCCAGTTTAGTATTCTTATATACTTGCATGGATCCAGTTTTGTATTCTTGTATACTTGAATGGATCCAGTTTTGTTTATGCTTGAATATATCCAGTATTTTTATTCTTGTATGTATCTGCAAAGCTCTATGTATTTGAACATAGAACGTGGAAACTTATACATGTTTCTGTTATATGATTTCACACAGCTCCAGAGAGCGTGTAGGGAAACGATCAGGAGGAGAGGTAAAATTCGCCGAATGTCGTCCGTTAGGATGAAGCGGAGTTCCTTCAGCACGAGACATGAACGAGAGAGCTGTCGGTATAACGACTCCTACCCGCTTTTGCCCGACTCGTCCAATGAAATCCACAGTATCTTATAAATGAGAGAATACTTCAGATATCTATATTCTTAAAGTGAAGGAAACTCAAACATTGATATGTATATATATATATGGTTTATCGAAAATAGCGTATCATTTGAAAGTAGGCTTAGTAGATCCATTTCCACGCCTTAAATATCCAAGTTTCAGACATTACTGATAATTTACACCTGTAAGAGTTGTATTTCACATTTATGTTTGTAAATCTGTTTCAGATTGTATGAAATCCTTTTTCTCCAGTCCAAAAAATGTGATACTTCTGTTATTGTTATTTATGTTTTGACGCGTGTATCATATATTCACTAATACAATACGTTGGTAAATCTAACTTATTACACACTGAGTAGAGACTTGATAAAAAGTGTCAGTATTTTTAAGTAATTTTCTGAGTGCAGTATTGTTCTCTAAGGATAGATATGGTGTACATAATACGTAAAACTAATCTTTCATAGAGAGCAAATGTCATGTTATCTTTTATTGAAGTGGATTAAAAAGTATACCATAGTTTATATTTATTTTGTTCATTTTTCCTTGCTAGAAATAACAATTTTTCATTCACCTAACTGACCCCCAGTTTGATATCATGGTATGGTCACTACACAAATGCTTATGAAAATTATTTAGACGTTCTGGGTTTAACATATTTTTTTTATAAACAAGCCCACTACCCGACATCCACCGCTAGTGGATCAGCGGTAAGTCTGAAGACTTATAACGCTCAAACCGAGTTTTGATATCCGTGGTAAGCACAGCGCAAATAGTCCATTGGGGAGTTTTGTGTTTAACAACAAGTAAACAATCAGGAACCTACTGTTTTACTAACCATTCTATTAAATATTTCGAAAAATGCTTCCAGATAAAGATTTTCCATAAGCTTTCAGATTGAACAAGCAATCTAAATCTTTAGTTAACCTGAAACTTTTTCTGGTTAACGACTGATACTAAAACAGTAAAACCTTTATAAAGCAATGTTTTTCTAACCGTAAAGTAAACCTAAGATCATGAAATGGGTGGTATGTGTAACTAATCAGAATCATACATTAGGTGACTTGTGTAGCCTAATATTATTCTAAAATCCTGATCATTCAATGTGTAATATCTTAGCCCACGCTTCACACGATCCCGTGATAAGTTATGTAGCCCAAATAATTCTCATGAACACAACATGTGATGGGTAGTTTGTATACTCCAAGATGATCCTCCTGTAACGGGTGGTTTGTACAGTCCAGGATAATCATGATGAGACATCACGTGATGAGTAGTTTGTATAGCCCAAGATGATCTTTGTGTAATGGGTGGTTTGTATAGTCCAAGATAATTAAGATGGGACATCATATGATGGGTAGTTTGTATAGTCCAAGATGATCTTCGTGTAATGGGTGGTTTGTATAGTCCAAGATAATTAAGACGGGACATCATGTGATGGGTAGTTTGTATAGTCCAAGATGATCTTCATGTAATGGGTGGTTTGTATAGTCCAAGATAATTAAGATGGGACATTATGTGATGGGTAGTTTGTATAGTCCAAGATGATCTTCATGTAACGGGTGGTTTGAATACTCCAGGATAATTAAGATGGGACATCGTGTGATGGATAGTTTGTGTAACTCAAAATGATGATCATGTCATGGGCGGTTTGTATAGTCCAAGATAATTAAGATGAGGCATCATGTGATGGGTAGTTTGTATAGTCCAAGATGATCTTCGTGTAACAGGTGGTTTGTATAGTCCAAGATAATTAAGATGGGACATTATGTGATGGGTAGTTTGTATAGTCCAAGATGATCTTCATGTAACGGGTGATTTGAATAGTCCAGGATAATTAAGATGGGACATCATGTGATGGATAGTTTGTGTAACTCAAAATGATGATCATGTGATGGGCAGTTTGTATAGTCTACTATGATTCTCATTTGATGTACAGTTTGTGTAATCCAAATTAATTCTCATGATATGATCATGTAATGGGTGGTTTGTATAGTTAATTATTATCCTCATGATATAATCAGTTGGTTTGTATAGTCCACTATGGTCATCAGGTGATAGATAGTGCTTGTAATCCAAATTTATTCTCATGGTACAATTATGTGATGAATGGTTTATGTGGACCAAGATGATCCATCGTGAGGAGTTCATTTGATAGGTTGTCTGTATACACAAAACTGTTTTCGAGAACACATGGTAAATGCACCATTGAGTCATTATTGAAACTTATATTCTTAAACCTTAGTGAATAAAAGATCGGAAATAATCAGTAAAATTATTGTTCAGTTTGGTATCATTACTAGAGTATTAGTAATCCTGAAAAAATAAATAAACCAAGTTAATCAAAACGCTCAAGTGAGGAGTGATTTTTTTTTCTAAATTTAGATTATGTTTCTTTACAAAAATGTGTTGCCATATAGGTTAAGTATTAAATATGAGAACAATGGTAATTGTAAGCTTGTTAATTACATTCTTTCCTCAACAAGAGTTAAAAAGCAGCTAATTAATAGAAATTTACAAGTTTACATAAAAATGAATTTCTTTTTATGATTCCTACATGATGCTGTTACATCAAGGTAAAAGCATTTTTATATTTTAAAGTAAATAAATAGAACAGTTATTTCTAAACTAATTCACTACTGTTTCTTTTAATATTTCAAAATATTTGTAAAAATATTCTATATTTCTTAAGTAATACAACAAAGTGTAGAAAAGGTTAAGGTATACATTAGTCATTTCGGCCAGAGACGTTCCGGGTTCCATCTTGAAGGACACTTTCAACATACAGTTATATTGTATCGACTTAGTTCTGACAAACAAGTGTATTGTACGTTTTATTCCAAACATTTTCCCTTTGTCCCTCGTATTACATCACGCAGAAATTTACCGACTAAGTGAACTTTAACTATTGTTTTATCAAAAATCTATACATATTTTGATCCACAATTATACTAATGATAAACAAAGATTGGTAGAAACACTTATGGACATAAAGAATTGACACCATATAGAGCATTACTGATATGTTAACTTACCTGAGCTATTTATTGGTGCAAAATGTGAGATTTGACAAAAATATTTTTTTTTTCCAAAAGACTCATTGTACAAAACCTTTTAGGGACAACTTATACATCTTGAAAACTGATTCGGATAATTTAAAATAGTAATGTTTCAGCGCCATGTTTTCTAGATAACTAGAGAAATTAACGAAAACTCTCTTGTGTTTATTATTGATTGTTCCTTATTATTCTTTGGAGGAGTACTTCATGTATGAGGAAATGAACAATAAAGACGTTACTAATATCCTAAACGTATATTTTTCCATCACTAGTTAACCACCATGTGCTTGTGCCATGCATATGTTTACATAATATGTTGACCCCCAGTGGCACAGCGGAATGTCTGCGGACTTACAACGCTAGAAACTGGGTTTCGATACCCGTGGCGGGCAGAGCACAGATAGCCCATTGTGTAGCTTTGTGCTTAATTCTAAACAAACAATCACAATATGTTATTTCTTGAATATACTGGATGTCTCGGTAAACAGTGTCTAATTGCTCTGGTAAGACTTTCCTACGTTCTAAATATTTATTACACTAAAGCATGGTGTTTGCCACGATGTTTTATTCTCGTCTTTAGAAGTTCCTGAGTGTAATAAAACAAGATAGAAGAGATAACCTCCCTCTTATGTGTTGATATACATATTTATTACGTCAGAATCCTAGATGGTTTGTGTTGAGTGCTGCATGCAGTATCGTAAATTTATGTATACGAGTGTATATGGCTAGAGAAAGTGCAGAGATATGATATACATATGTCATTCCCTGAAAACCTCAGTTTTCAACTTTATTTAGCATGATTATAATTGGGTAGGCTGTTTGTGATGCATAAGAATGGTGTTGTAAACAGGGACTGTATGTTTTACATCCCACTTTAATGTGTTTCCTGGAATATATGTGTCGAGAACTGAATATCCTTTAGAATAAACTAGAAGAATCACGTATTAACTCTCAGTGTTCTTCAGATAAACGAATACGTTTAACGGTAAACTGCAACATTTTGTTATTTTGAGATGATTCTGTACTTGACAAAAACAATTGACGATTTCTTGGACATTCACTTTTGGGTGACAAAAGATAAACCTGAAATGCTATTTTTTACATCACTCTGATTTCGAATACGAAATTCTGAAATTAAGAAGGATGTGGGAAAAATAACATCTGCAGTTTATGTGATTTCTGTCATATATCTCAGTCCTATTGCCTTGTTAAGTTTCGCCAGTTTTCGGCGTTTAAACCACAACTTTCAAATTTTGAACTGCTAATATTAAGTAATCGATATATCTAATTTTTTCAAATTTTGTATATTTCTAGAAAGTTCAATGTAGGCCTTTTGGTAACTCGCATATAATTCTTTCTCCTTTCTCAGCCCCTAATATTATATAGTATTTCTCCTTTTCTAACCCTTGTTTATATAACAGTATTTCCCCTTCACTAAACCCTAAAGTATAGTAGACTTCTCCCGTAGCTGATTTTGCAGTCTAACTACAGTTATTCATATTTTTGTGTTCTTAAAAATGCTGTTATGTTACTTAAGTTATTTCATATTTTGAAAAATGTACTTGAAATCTGCGTGAAAAGCATTGAGTAGTATCTTACTCAATTAAATCTCTTCTTAAAACAACACTAAAAATGTTCAATATATCCTTTAGCGAGAGGATGGTATTATCATAACGGCGTAAAAGTTCCGGTAAACATTGCTGAGTTGAGTGCTGGTTGACAATTCCAGGAGCTGCACGGACAAGCATTTAACCCTTACGAAACAGAAGAGAGCTTCTTTACTGATGTTACACAATGGCCTTATGGCTGTATATTTTCCTGACGGTTCCTCATCTTTTATTTTTCGTAGCTCTACCATATTTTACTTCGTTTTCTAATAGATCCGTTCCCTCCGAATTTCCACAACCATCGTAATCTCAATGATTAATACATAACTCAATATATATATCTCTCAATGATTAAATACACAACTCAATATATATCTCATTGATTAATACAAATACCTCAATTATTTTGTCTTTTGACGTGAAATGAAACATACGCGACCTACTGGTTTGAGTGTGGACAATGAATCCGGGAGTTCGAAGTTCGCGTTCCGTTACCACAAGAAAGTGTTCAGCACTTCGAAGCACAGATGCGTTATAAGAGCAATGGTCCAGTCCCATAAAATATCTACAATCTACAAATATATATATATATACATATATTTGCAATTTTAAATATTCTATTTTGTCTTACATTATTTTAGTAAAGTTGTTAGTTGTAATTTTAGTAAGCTACACAGGCTTAAACATCACGTTTTTTAACTCCATAATCAGTTTAGCTCTAGAAGCTCTCTTTGCTGAAAGAAAAAGATGGTCTTTGTTTAGATGCGGCGTTATAATGTGACGGTCAATCCCACTATTCGTTGGTAAAAGAGTAGCCCAAGTGTTGGCGGTGGGTGGTGATGACTAGCTGCCTTCCCT